TCAGCGCAAAATTCAGGTTAAATGATAAAACAAATATGGCTCTACTGCCATCCAGGAGCAGGTGTATTTTGTCGATGTCGAGAATGGGAAGCAAACTTTCGACTTTCTCAGATGGCGCATGATTGGACATGTCTTTCCTTCCTCCCGATGGCTGGAGTGTACAGGCATCATCAGCGAAAGAAACCGACTGGGCAAGAGCGTCAAGAAGACATCGATCATTCACTTCTGCAAAAGTGTCAGTCGTAGGAAACACTAACTGTTTGAGGGTTGATTCAGTCTCGTCGCCCCTGCTGTTGTAAAGTAACTTTACACCTGACGGAGCAGACCGAAAGCTCGCCTTTCGGCTCTGAGCATACGAGCTGCTGCAAACCACTCGAACTATCTCAAAACTTTGCTAATATTTGAATGCCGAGGAAGGTCCGCGAGAGACGGGCCAAAATAGTCATGACGTTTAACTGCCTCACTAACAAAGTTCAGTTTTCATTATCTGTAAACCGATTCATGTTACTTTGCTGAGTTTGCACCGCAAGTTGGACGGATTCCTTGCTTTCAGTGACTTTAAACCGATTTAAGTGTACTACGGCTCAAATGCGTTAAGATATTAACGGTGCAGTGTTTGAATATGAAAATGAATCTCAGTGATTGACAGAACAGGAATAAAAATTTTAAATTGCTTTGCCGGTCAGCGTATGTGTTTATTACTTCCTGATCCGAGAATATCTCGCAGGTTACTGGGCAAATAGCATTCCTGCCTTTAGTATACAACTGAGAACAAGTGACAAGCACATTTCGTTCTCAACCGCAATAACTAAAACTTCATTTGTGCACTCCCAGATCTGCATTTGTCTCATTGTTGTTTCATTCGACCGATAAACACGAATTTCGAGCGTTCCAAAATTTCAGCTGTTGTCTGTAGCAGCCTTATAGACAGACGCAACGAATCCGTTGCGTTTCGCGTATTGGTCTACTTATATGAGCTCAGTTCTCGTTTGTTTGCAAACAGTATCCCACGTTGTCCCTGTGACTTGTCATTATACTTTTTTATACTACCGTGACCGTCCTGTCTGTCATCGTTTGAACGGTCTTTCATTTTTTGCTCGATTTTTCATCGCGACAAGGGGTGTCTTTAATGGAATACGGTACTTCTCCATGTCTGCTCAGCTTTTCATCCCTGCCGCTTACCAAGTAATCCTGCCGTCTAAACCGATGGCACTGCGTCGTTCACCAGGTGCTAGATATTATTAGGTGTTATTCAGACTGCCTCCGAGGCCGGCATTTGTTGTCTTGGTTTTCTTGTTTCTCTTGGCGCCGTTTGGCAAGTGGTCGTGCGGCAGTCGATTTGAGTGCCAACCCTGAAAAACTACTGCCGACACCTTTCTAACCTCAATCCACTGCAATAGACTCAGAGCACAGAATTTCGTTGTGAGACTTTGGTCATCGGAGGACATGATTGTCGAGTGACGGGCAACACCGCCGTCTCGGTC